CACTTCTGTCCTCTTCTGGTTTCAGCAAAGATCGCGGACTTATAAACATTTCCATCGTGTGATCGAACCGTCCTCTGAGTCTCACTTTCTGGTACTCCAAACCATTCACTTCAGCCAAACTATCCGTCAATTTATAAAACTATTAATTCCTCATTAGATGGCTATTAAACAACTGGAAGTGTTATCTTAAGAGAGCCACTGACTGTTGCGGTAAATCAATGGCCGGTTGTCTGACGAGCTGTTCCAAGCGGTCGATGAGCTGTAGTTTCCATTGCCTTCTGTATACCTGCCAACAGCCGAGACAAAAGGTGGCGCCCGGTATCACCTGTTGGATCAAATCACACACAAAACAGTCAAACAAATCAATTGAATGGCAAATGAAATGCAAACCAATAGCAGGCATGAAGCGATGGATGGCTTTGCGGACGGCTTTGCGTGATATAGGCGTCGGTTTGCACTCAATTCGCGCACTAATAATGGTTTGTGTCTTAAGTATTGTCTTAAATACAGGCCTTTGAAGAGCCGATGAAAACCCATTTCACGCAAAAGTTTTGTCACAAAACAACACCAAAACACGTGATTCAATGCTTACGCAATGTTCGCGCAGTTATTACGTCCACTTAATGAGTGGGCTTTACGCTGGCGTTCACTTTCACTGCAATACACGCTTTCGTATTGAAGACAATACACTTTGCGTTCAAACGCGTTGTCGAGTTATGCAGAAAAGCTATTCGTGTATAGAAAGGGGCCATTGTATGAATGGAGCGCTTAATATTAATAGCGACTAAAATACAGTACTAATCACTGATTACGTTAATTAAGTCAAAGGAGTAATAAATTTACATTCATTCAAATATTTCTCCAAAATTACAGAATTTTTTATTGTCGTATAATTAATACATATTTCAATGCATTGTAATTATCGGTTAGATTTGGCCACTCTTTCCAATTCGTCCTTCTTTTTGATGGCATAACTGTTAGACGAGCCCTAAGAGTGAGAAATAACAATCAATTAACACTTCATTCCCATTACAACACATTAATAAAATGATGAGTGAATCCAGACATACCTTCGCAGCATTGATCAGTTCATCGGCCAAACACTCAGCGATAGTCTTGATGTTCCTGAAGGCGGCCTCACGAGCGCCGGTGCAGAGCAACCAAATCGCCAAATTCACGCGTCTTAGCGGCGATACGTCCACAGCCTGTCGGCGAACAGTACCGGCGCGACCGATACGAGTCGAGTCTTCGCGCGGACCGCTATTAATGATGGCGTTAACCAAAATCTGGAGCGGGTTCTCATTGGTCAGCAGATGTATGATCTCAAACGCGTGCTTCACGATCCGGACGGACAACAGCTTCTTGCCGTTGTTTCTGCCGTGCATTTGCATCGAGTTTGTCAACCGCTCAACAATAGGGCACTGAGCCTTTCGGAACCGCTTCGCCGCGTATCGGCCGGCGCTGTGCGGCAGATAACGGGCGTACTTCTCCTTCACCGCGATGTAATCCTACAAAACAATCAAAACAACAATCAGTGATCACCAAAAAAAAGACACGTTTGCCAAAGAAGTGGTGATAAACGGGTACTTACGGTGAGTGAGATGTCGGACACCTGGACATCGCTCGAACTCCATCTGCCAAACAACTTAATCTCAAGCGGTTCGGCGGCGGCCGCAACGGCCGCACTTTCGGTCCACTCTTCGGTGGTCATCACTTCCGGTCAACGATTAGCGGTAGTATTTAAACGACGGTTAAAACAAAATCAAATCACTTTTTGTGAGCAAATGTGAGACACAGTTGGAGAGGAAAAGGAAAGAGAGTTTATGCACAACATGTGAGGGACCCTCTCCTCAGTGCACACATCACTCACCCATTCATACATTACATTGCGTTCAATGCATTCAGTGTTGGCGTAAAAGTTTTAATTTATATTTTATTGAATTTTATTCAATTAAAACTTAATTAATTTTATTAATCATTTATCAAATTCAGATTTAAGCAATTCATCGAGTTTTGCCCGTTTGGACAAATTGGCCACTTTTCCCGAGTACTTGCCGTCCTTTAGTACGCCCTTCACTGGCATTAATCCACTGATTCTGTGGGAAATTAATGCTATTTTAGATTTAATTTCCTAATTAAATAACAAATAATACATAGGAATGAGTCGTTGAACGAGCTCTTGATTGCCGGCCAACGCTAACTGTCCACCGCTGTTAACATCAGTGCTATCGTCGGTGACGGACAATACAAACAAAGTATTGTTAGTTTTGTCTTTCACTTCACTCAAGAAGAATGTGATGAAATCGACATCACTTTCTTTGCGATGGATTGATATATATTTGGGCTTTTCTGTCAACTCCAAGAACTTCTTCGCCTCTAATTTAGCCAAATCTCTCATTGCATTCAAACAATTCTATTGAATTAATTACATATCTTTGGGTTCAAAAAGTTCTAAACAAATGTCTTTAAACAAACCTTTTGTGAGATTTTAAGCGATTTCTTCATTTTCTCTGTCATCGAATAAAAGTCTCCGGAAGTGCATCTGATTTAATGCAATTCAATATAACAATTAAAACATTTTTAATGACCGCAAATGATTGAATGGATTTATACTTTAATGAAGAGATGAGTGCTTTCTCTCGTTTGTAACACTTATCCAAATAAGAAAGAACTCGATTTCCGCTCAAGAAATATACATTTGTTTTATTCTTCTTTCCCTTTTCGGCCGAAAGAAGTTTTATTGACTAAAAAGTAAATTAAAAATTTTAAATTGCGATATAAAATGAGTGCATAATCTTTGCGCAAATCACCTGCAAATGACTTAAATTCGTGACATGAGTTCCACAGCAAGTGTTGCTATCGATGCCTTCAATGGTGACCACACGTATGGCACCGGTTAGGCCTTCGGGTACCATCAATCTGGTCCTAACTTCTTGAAGTCGTTCGTCATTCTTATCATAAACAGTGACCACAACGGGTGCCGAAGACCTGATCTTCTCGTTAACAATGGTTTCTAATTTTCTGATGGTCTCGTCTGAAACCTCTTTGGCGTCCAATTCAATAAACGAAACCTCTTCTCCGAGAGACCAAGAAGTGGTACACAAACCAAATGTCTGCTCAGCGATGGCTGTAATGAGATGTTGTCCGGAATGCTGTTGCATATTATCAAAACGTCGGCTCCAATCCAGTGTCACATCCACTTCCCGGCCCTCAGACAACGGCTCATCGCTTACCACAAAATGGACAGCAATATCGCCATCCCGTCGGACATCCACTACTTGTTTGCCATCAATAGTGCCAAAGTCTGATGGCTTTACAACAATCACTGCATTTAATTCAATGTAAATATAAACGTGTTTTTGTCAATACCTGTCCACCGCCTTCGGGGAACAGTATAGTGTCCTCGAGAACCACTTCAAAGCCATTCAATTTGGTCCCACTCTTCGGTGCCTTCAATTCACTTGATTTACAAGTTTTGACATTTGTTTTGAACTGAATTTATGAATAAAATAAGAAATGAATTGAAAACTCAAAAAATCAAATCTAGTGTAAAGACAGTGAATATATGAATACCTGTTGGAGATAACTGTCTGTTTGACACTTGAATACCATAATCACAATTGAAGTGCAAATCTAATTCAATTGTTATGACGTTTATGCCATGCAATCATTGAATCACATGTTTATCACAGTATTTGTGGCATACATTTCAAATTGAAATGCATTGACATTTCCAATGCATGCAATGTTTGCAAATTCAACATTTCATTCAAACATTGCATTCAATGTTGTTTTTGGATTATTTTTAAATTCAATACTCATTTAAATATAGCATTAATTTTTGTATTTAAATCACTACTCATATACAGCTAGTGTTTGTCAGTCACCAGTGGATCAGTTAGTTATTTGGATACAAAATGCCTGTAATTATGAAAATAATTGTTAAATTAAATATTTGTTGAGTCTCAAGAAATTCAATGCAATTGTATATGTGATACACGATATACCTCGTGATAACCACCAGAGCGATGGTCTCTGCCTTAAGACTCGTTACCTTCGATGTGACCAATACTCTGATCCGACTGAAGAACTCAGTGGGCTTTGAATACATGAAAGTAATGCAAATTTATTGCAATGAAAGTGCATTGAAATCATATTCAGATCGCAATCAATGCGATAATGATTTGTCGAAAGCATTTAGAAGTGTTTACAAAGAGATGGATAAAACAAACCAAAACTTTGGTCTCAAGAGTGGTATGTCTTCACTCGATTGGTGGACACAAATCGTTAAGCGGACGATCCGTTTGGCCAACTTTACGGCCGCGGAAATCAATGACAAACAGTTAGATATGATTGCAAAACATTTGTTTAAGTCATATTCTTCGGCCAATTGTTGGACAATCGATGGGAACAGTCATCAGGTGTTGAGCGCACTCAAGAAACGAGACGATAAGCCTGTGATAGGCGTCATATCCAATAACGACGAACGACTGGAACAGATTCTTCGGGAGTTAGGACTCAGGCATTACTTTGATTTTGTGCTCACTTCCAGAGGTGTGGGCTTTTGTAAGCCATCGAAAGAGATCTTTGATAAGGCCTTAATGTGTGCACAACTGGACGACCCCTCCCGAGCCCTTCATATCGGCGATGCCTTACATTTGGATTATTTGAGTGCTAAGAGTTTTGGTTGGCATTCGTTGCTGACGAGGAATCGATCGCATTTGTCGGCTCAAGAGTTGGCCCAAATCGATGAATCGGATATTATCGACGATTTGAGCCGATTATTAGACCACAAACTTTTTAAATGACAATCAATTGGTTTTGAAAAGTTTTCTTACATTACTTTTAATGCCAAATGACTCGAGAGATGTCTCTATGCTTTTCAATACAAACCCATTATTTTCTGTGGGCTTTAAATAGGAGTCAATACAAGTGTTTTACAACACAATAAAAATCAATACAAAAATATGTTTTCATTAAATGACATATTTTTTGCATGAATTAAGTGATCGTTTGATTTGATTGACAATTGGCTTAAGAAGTGTTGGGAAGCGATGGGCGATCAGACGAAGACATTTTTATACGCCTTTTTGGGCAAATATAAGGTGACTCCCGATTACCAGTACCACCAAACTGGCAGTAATAACCGGATCAGATTCAGATGCGAGGTATGCACCGGCACTTTGACACTACTTACCACTTGATTGGTAACAATTTACGTAACAAATGCCCACATTTAATATGGATGTGGTTTCTTGTGTCCAAAATGACAGATAAGAGCCGAGGGTTACAATTATGTAGCGATGGGTAACTCAACCAATAAGAAAGACGCGGCCGTAAACGCGGCCAAAGATTTCCTCATGTATTTGGTTCGCGACAATAAATTGGCCGAAAGTGAACTGCCATTCAATACGGCCGCCAATCCTATCATTACTGGCCCTCCAGTGGCTGTTCCGCCACCGCCTGGCAATGGTTCTCAGATGACACCAATGCCGCCGATCGACGCCTTTATCAGTTCGTATAGAGGAGGACCAGGAGGTGGTGGTGGCGGTGATGGGGGTCCTCCACGACCCCCACCGGTGGGCAAAGGCTTTATGTCATACTCTGAGGGACCGAAACAGGAATACATCGATCGAATCGCTCAGAAGCGTAAGTTCGAAGAGGGGGAGGAATTGGACCTGAATTCAGGCATTCACGGCAACTGGACTTTGGATAACGCGAAGCAACAGTTGAACCAATATATGGCGCAAAACAAGATTAAAGCCGATTACGTGTATTCAGCCGTCGGACCCGATCACGCAAAGTATGGTTTACACGCCTCTCATAATGACAACCGTTTTGAATGTTTTTATTGATTATTTTAATGGCAAACGAGATATTCTTTGAAATGGGATTTAACTCATGTTTTGTTTGAGAGAATATTTTGTTTGACTTAATATTGATTTTGATATTTTGAAACAATTGATTGACAAGATTTTTGTGGGCCTTAAATACGCTGTGAATTATATTTAATGTCTAATAATAACCGATAAACTAATCGAAGATTTTATATGTTTGTGAATTGTTTTTGATTTATGTTTTTAAATTTTATGATTAGTTTGTCGGTCATTATTGTCCGCAAAATGTTGGCCACAAAAATAGTGTTCAAACAAATTGTTGGTTACTTTTGATCATTAGGTAAAGGACATGTTTGAAATTTGAATTTTTAAAATTAATTACTTTGAATGCCTTATGTTTTTGAACTATGTTTAGGACTTTTGTGTGTGAAATGAGTGTTTGGATCAGAAGTCTTAATAAACGTAAGTGTTTTATATTTTGTTGATTTGGTATTTATTGATGATTACATCGGTTTGCCCGCAGATGTGTCGGCTCGAGAGCCCGGTTCTAATAAGATGTTGGCCTCGAAGTCATGCGCCCTCTCTATTATACGTCAGATGTTTCACTTCGGTATTTTAGGAGAGTTTAAAGTCGGGCCAAAGAAAAATAAATCTCAATCGGTAAAAACCCATCTCTCTCTCTCTCTCTCTCTCTCTCTCTCNATGTATGGGTGCTGTCGCCAAATAACACGGTCATCAATGTATGTCAATGTGTGTGCAATATATGGTAACGACAGGCAAACACCAGTCTCTAGTGGTAGTCAAGGATACCATCTGATGAAGAGATGCTCTCTCTCTCTCTCTCTCTCTCTCTCTCTCTCTCTGCACTTATTAACAGATGAACATTGCTTTTATACATGAAATATAGATCGACTCGTATGCCGTGGATGTGCCCAACCATATACTGGATTTGGTTAATAAGACTCTTCAGGATCTAAACATAAAACCGGTTCCCATTTGCGAACACCGTTTGGCTGACGGCACTCCTGACTCGTATTCAATTCTCATTGAAAACCAAATTCCAACTGAAATCAAGACAAGTGCTATATCGAGCATACAGTGTGTCAGTTGGTGTCCACCCATTGAGAACTGGAACCCATGGAAGGGCTGTAATATAGATGAAGGCATTCTCTCCACTTCTAATTTGACACAAATCAGTGAAATGCTATCCAGAGAACAGTTGACTGCACTTCAGAATCCACACTATCTGGAAATGATTGAACGCAGACAACGGCTTCCCGTTTGGGGCGTCAAAGAGCAGATTCTGGGTATGATTCGTGACAATCCTGTTGTGATCATAAGAGGCAGCACCGGATGCGGCAAAACTACACAAGTGCCGCAATTTCTACTCGATTCCTATATCGCCAACAATAGGGGCGCCGAATGTAATGTAATCGTAACACAACCGCGAAGAATAAGCGCCATATCTATCGCCGAAAGAGTGGCTCAGGAGAGGGCGGAGGCGTTGTCTATGAACTCGAGCGTTGGTTAATAAGACTCTTCAGGATCTAAACATAAAACCGGTTCCCATTTGCGAACACCGTTTGGCTGACGGCACTCCTGACTCGTATTCAATTCTCATTGAAAACCAAATTCCAACTGAAATCAAGACCAGTGCTATATCGAGTATACAGTGTGTCAGTTGGTGTCCACCCATTGAGAACTGGAACCCATGGAAAGGCTGTAATATAGATGAAGGCATTCTCTCCACTTCTAATTTGACACAAATCAGTGAAATGCTGTCCAGAGAACAGTTGACTGCACTTCAGAATCCACACTATCTGGAAATGATTGAACGCAGACAACGCCTTCCCGTTTGGGGCGTCAAAGATCAGATTCTGGGTATGATTCGTGACAATCCTGTGGTGATCATAAGAGGCAGCACCGGATGCGGCAAAACTACACAAGTGCCGCAATTTCTACTCGATTCGTATATCGCCAACAATAGGGGCGCCGAATGTAATGTAATCGTAACACAACCGCGAAGAATAAGCGCCATATCTATCGCCGAAAGAGTGGCTCAGGAGAGGGCGGAGGCGTTGTCTATGAACTCGAGCGTCGGTTATAGCGTTCGGTTCGAGAACTCATTGCCGCGACCGTACGGTTCGGTCCTGTTTTGTACGATTGGAAACCTTTTACGCAAACTCGAAGGCGGACTCCGAGGCGTGTCTCACGTGATCCTCGACGAGGTTCACGAGCGAGACGTTAACACAGACTTCTTGCTGGTTGTGGCCCGAGATATGGTCAACGCTTTCCCCCATTTGAGGCTAATCTTAATGTCGGCCACAATCGATACGTCAATATTTCAGCGATATTTTGGCAATTGTCCCATTTTGGAGATCCCGGGCCAGTCATACCCCGTACAAGAGTATTACCTCGAAGACTGTGTGGAAATGGTGCGCTTCATTCCGCCGCCGCCTCAACGCAAAGGTCGCAACTTTCAAGACGAGGACTCGGAGGGCGGTTCCGCAGAAGGCGGCGGCGATAATCTCAACAAACAGGTGGCGCCGCGTTATTCGGAACAAACGCGACAATCGATGGCCAAAATGAGCGAAAGAGAGATTAGCTTTGATTTGATTGACGCACTCATTGGACACATTCAGACACTGAACACTCCGGGCTCTATCCTTGTCTTCCTCCCCGGTTGGAACTACATCTTCGCACTCATGAGACACTTGCAATCGCATCCGTATTACGGTTCCGAACGCTTCCGAATACTTCCATTGCATTCGCAAATACCGCGCGAAGAGCAGCGCCGGGTCTTCGATCCCGTGCCCGAAGGCGTGACCAAAATTATTTTGTCCACAAATATTGCCGAAACGAGTATTACGATCGATGACATCGTATTTGTGATCGATTCGTGCAAAATAAAGATCAAACTCTTCACTTCGCACAACAATATGACAAACTATGCCACCGATTGGGCCTCAAAGACGAACCTTCAGCAGCGCAGAGGACGTGCGGGTCGAGTGCGGCCCGGTTTCTGTTACTACCTCTGCAGTAAAGCTCGTTATGAAGCGATGGACGAGTACCTGAAGCCAGAGATCTTCCGGACGCCATTACATGAGATCGCGCTCACAATCAAACTGTTAAGACTCGGAGCGATCATTCCGTTCCTGTCGAAGGCCATAGAGCCGCCGCCCATCCATACCATCATCGAATCGGAGGTGATTTTACGTGAGTTGAAGGCGTTGGACGATCAAAGCGAACTGACACCTCTCGGTCGCATTCTGGCCCGACTTCCCATTGAGCCGCGAATCGGCAAAATTATGATCGCTTCCATTATATTCGGTTGTGCGGACTCGATGTGCACCATAACCGCCAACTCGAGCACATGTCCCGACCCTTTCGATTCGTTCAATTTGGGTCGTTTGCGTTACTCTCACCGGCGTTTCAGTAATGGCCGCTTCAGTGATCACATACTTCTGCTCCGATCGTTTCGCCAGTGGGAGAGGGCTTTCCATTACAGCGAGGCCTCAGCCATGGAGTTCTGCGAGAAGTTCTCACTCCTGCCCACAGCCATGAAGATCACGTCCGAAGCGAAGCGACAATTAATCGATTTATTGCGAAGCTCTATGTTCTCCGACGAAGTGCTCGGCGATCGTTACTACGAGACCCACAACTGGTCCGTACAGTCGGAGGGAGAGAATCGGAGCGACACTGGACTCGATATAATGACAGCGCTATTAACGATGGGTTTATATCCAAACGTATGCATACATAAAGAGAAGCGAAAGGTGTTGACGACTGAGGCCCGGATCGCTTTGGTGCACAAGTCTTCCGTCTGTTACACAAACCTGCCGTTCCCTCAGCAGACGTTTCACATGCCGTTCTTCGTCTACGGAGAGAAGTTGCGGACGAGTGTCATATCAGCCAAACAGCTAACAATGGTTTCGCCCATTCATTTGCTTCTGTTTGGCGCCAAACGAGTGGAAGTAACGCCCGATCTATTCGTCGAATTAGACAAATGGATTGACTTCAAAATGAATCCACATTTGGCGGCCGCTATCGTAGCCCTCAGACCCGCCATCGAAGAGCTCATAATGAGTGTGTCGGCCAATCCGGAGATTGTGACCACTCTATCGCCGGCCGAGAAACAGCTCATAGAGACTGTGACTACAATCTGCAGTTTCGATGTCGTCAAGATTCACAAACTCGAGCCAAGAGTTATCGCACCACAGATTGAAGGCTAATATCACCACAAATAATATCACAGCTCTTATCTCATCAGCACTTTTTCTTAACCTTTTGAGTTTAACACAATTGTTGACTCATTCTATGTTTTGATCACTTGATAATTAAATGTCTTTAAAAGTTTATTTATTAATTAGTAGTTTATTTATTAAACTTTATTATTATATATACAATAGTAAACAGCGATGTGTTTTCATGTCATATTGTATCCAAATTTGATGTAAACTCGACCACAATTTAGTTGACGAACGAAATAATCGATTGTTAATTAGTTTAGTTTATTTTAGACATACTTTTATTCACTGCTTTTATTATACAAATGGATAAACAAATAATAATTTAAATTATCGATAAAAATATTCATAAAAATAATGAAATGTCTACTTATTTGTGGCAAACGTTACTCTTTTTGCCATAATTTGAACGTTCGGTCGAAAGAGGATGTGATTAAATGCTTATTATCGGGCGACACATCAACGGCCGTCACTTTGCTATCGCCGGCCGAGAAACAGCTCATAGAGACTGTGACTACAATCTGCAGTTTCGATGTCGTCAAGATTCACAAACTCGAGCCAAGAGTTATCGCACCACAGATTGAAGGCTAATATCACCACAAATAAAATCACAGCTCTTATCTCATCAGCACTTTTTCTTAACCTTTTGAGTTTAACACAATTGTTGACTCAATCTAATTATGTTTTGATCACTTGATAATTTAATGTCTTTAAAAGTTTATTTATTAATGAGTAGTTTATTTATTATATATACAATAGTAAACAGCGATGTGTTTTCATGTCATATTGTATCCAAATTTTTTGTAAACCCGACAACAATTTAGTTCACGAACGAAATAATCGATTGTTAATTAGTTTACTTTTATTCACTGCTTTTATTATACAAATGGATAAACAAATAATAATTTAAATTATCGATAAAAATATTCATAAAATAATGAAATGTCTACTTATTTGTGGCAAACGTTACTCTTTTTGCCATAATTTGAACGTTCGGTCGAAAGAGGATGTGATTAAATGCTTATTATCGGGCGACACATCAACGGCCGTCACTTTGCCGTCGTGTCCGCTAAGAGTCTTGATGGGTGTCCACCCGGGATGTGCCCACAGTTTGACAGTGTTGTCATAGGAAGCGGTCATTATATAATTGCCGATCGTTTTCTCGAACAGCACTTTGGAGATGACGTTCGTGTGGGCGGCGATCGTGTACTCGAGCTTTCGCTCCCTTAAGTTCCATATCTTGACGCTATTGTCTTCACTTCCCGTCACTATTTGGTAACCGTTGGGCGAGAAGTCGATGCCGAGTACGCCCTTCAAGTGTCCGTCCATAAACATAATGCATCGGCCGGTCCTCAGGTCCCAAACCCTGCCAAACGAATCGAGACCAGCGGTCGCGATGAGTGAGCCGTCGCACTGGAAGGACAGGTCGTGAACGGGTTTGCTGTGTCCCTCCTGATGGAGAACCTCTTCGCCGCCCTCTAAGTCCCACAAACGCCATGAGTTGTCGTAACAACAAGTGGCCAAAAAGCGACCGCTCGGATGAAAGTCCAAATGACTGACACGATTCGGTTCGTGACCCTCGAGATTACCGATCGGTTCCTCACTCTTCAGGTTCCACAAGAAGACGGATCCGTCGACACCACAAGACGCTAGATTTAACGCTTCTTCAGATTGACTTATAGTTGATTTTGGATGAAAAGTGATTTGTCCGGCGTTACAGTTGTGGCCGCGAAGTGTTGACCGTAACTCCAGGGAAGGCATTGTCCATAGTTTACATAAACCACTCCTG